GCTGTCTGGCTACACTTTCTCCTACCACCACTTTGCCGTCACTAATCTCTCTCAGATTGCCTCGTCTACATAGAATGTAGTCTACCTGTGTACTCCTGCCTCCACTCTTATATGTAACTCTGTGTTCCTCCCGCTTCTGGAAATAGGTGTTAACTACAGCCATTTCCATCCTCTTAGCAAAGTCCACCACCATCTGTCCTTCTAGGTTCCTTCCCTTAACACCAAACCTGCCCATCACCTCCTCATCACCTTTGTTCCCCTCACCAACATGCCCGTTGAAGTCTGCCACAATCACCACTCTCTCCCCTCTGGGATTACTCTCCATCACCTCATCTAACTCCCTCCAGAATTTCTCCTTCTCTTCTAACTCACACCCTACTTGTGGAGCATAACCACTGACTACATTCAACATTACCCCTTCAATTTCCAACTTCAAACTGATCACCCTGTCTGACACTCTTTTCACCTCTAAAACATTCCTCACAAGCTCCTCCTTCAGGATCACTCCTACCCCATTTTTCATCCTGTCCACACCATAATAAAACAGTTTGTATCCCCCTCCAATGTGTTAGGTATTTTTAGTCAGATAGATATTGGTCAGATACTTGATGTATTAGGAATGTTTAGAGTAGACAGGATGTCTAGTTAGGCATTCTCATGAATGCTGCAGGATGCTTATGGTCAAGGATAACTAGAGAGAAAGTTTGACTGTCAGCAGACAGGATGTTTAATATTATTATTATGATGTGTATAATTGTAGCCATAGCCATAATATTTTCTTATGTTTAATGTCATTACATGTCACTAGAGGTTGTGTTAGAATGTTTTTAGCTACACACCACAATCAACAGACACACACACATTGATTTTCTTCATGTTTTGACTATTGCCATGGTCAGCTGCAAAGCTGGCACCAGACACGTCACGGTTTGGCGTTCCTGTTAGTATGGGGCTAGCCCAACCTAAGTGATAAATGTATAGGCCTGTTGGGTTCAGGGGTCTTGCATTCTTCAGCTGCCTGCGTGCATGTTGGAGGTGCAAGATACCTGAGCATGTAATGTTAATTTTTACCTGTGTTCATTGAATAAATCAGCACTGTTTTGAAGTTACTTGGACTGCCTCGTCTCTTAGAGTTAGCATGGTTAAAAGAATTGCAATGCTACAAATGCTACGCGCTTTGCTACCCTTCCACCTGGTCTCCTGCACACACAGTATATCTACCTTCCTTCTCTTCGTCATGTCCACCAGCTCTCTACCTTTCCCTGTCATTGTGCCAATGTTAAGAGTCCCTATTCTCAGACCTATACTCTTGCCTTTCCTCTTCTCTCTCTGTCTACAACTCCTTCTACCTCCTCTCCTTCTTCGACCAACAGTAGTCCAATTTCCGCCAGCACCCTGTAGGTCAGCAGCACTGGTGGCAATCGTTGTTAACCCGGGCCTCGACCAATCCAGTATGGAATTCACACTGATGATTCACATGTTTAAATTTGGCATATTTTTATGCCCTTCCTGACGCAACCCTCTATTTCTGTAGCCTGAAGGAGTCTAAGTCAGGTGTTAAATGCTTGTGCAGTAGGCTTCATCCTCTGAGCAACACCCGTATCTAGTAATGGCAATATAGCCAGTAGCTGTTGAGATCTCTCCCTGTGAACCAAGGTGGCGGACTGGGTGAACAGCCCTCCAACCCTGCTATTCCTGGAGCCATGTTGCTAGCATGTCTATAAAAATCTTACAGTGTGTGTAAAGCAATGACTGTCAGTTTGTATAATGATATGATGAGACGGTAAGAACACTGCATTACAACATCACATTATAAGGCACGGTACATTTCCCATTACTGCAGTACACACACTCAGTTGGCAGGTTGTTACTGTAGGTAGCTATGCTAAAACTAACGCAGTGTAACACACAGTCCTCCAATTAATCGTCCCTTTGTGAAGATGATTTAGAGAAGGGGATGGAAGCTGACCAACCTCAGACTTGCATTCAGACCACATGCTATATCTCCAGCTGTAGCAGGGTTTCACTAGGCAGGGCTTCCACTGCTCCATCTGGGACGGACATGGCCTCCCGTCACCCTGAGGAGCCTGGATCACTGTCCGTCTCCTCCCCAGCTTGCCTGCAGCACAGCACATAAAAAGGAAAAATCATTTATTCATGAAGAAACTGAATTCAGACTTTTTTTTTCCCATACACCAAAGCTCAGTCAGGTCAGAGAAGCAAGAAGTGTGGATAGTGAAAGTGATTTGGGGCACTGCCTGTCGAGATGACCACAGGAGGTACAGCAGATCCTCAAATCAAAGCTGATACAGTTATGATGGAATTAGTGTAATATCTCTCATATATAAAATGTAATGTCCATTTTAACAGCATTATTCCATTG